TCCTTTTAATATTGATAGTTTGTCGAAGCACGTTTAACTGACATTTTTCTCTTTATAACTCATTTTAATTTATTATTTCCACTATGTTTGCTTGCACATTTTCAGGGATTTTTTTACCCATGAACCGTTGTGTAACTATATATATTATTATTTCTTTAAGTTATATTTTTCCATTATTTTTTCTTTAATCTAAAGATTCTTTCTCTATTTTTAATTATTAGCTTATCGCTTCAAATTAAAATTAAACCGCTTTTAAAATAGAATCATAAAGATATTTTAAGAATTATATACAGTCATTAGATTGCTAGAAATGCATGAAAGTTGGCATTGTATAATGCTAAACTTTACATTTATTTGTGTACACACTTTTATTGTGACTCATAATCATTTGTTTGTTTTAAATGAAAACGTCAGTATTAACAAAACACAATATTGAGATGAAGGCACATTAAATAGAAAGATGGAGAAATAAACGTGTTTAATAAAAAAAATGTACTTAACTAAATTAAAACAATAAAATGTAATCGTTTTAAATTTAACAAAATGATTGAAAGACAAAATTGAAAAAGCGTATCCATTTGTCTATTGGACAGGATTTTGCCTTTTTCATAAAAGAAACTGAGTATCCTTAGAATTTGTGCGGTTTATTCTTTCGTAATTTGCTATTGCACGGACTTTTCTTGACACCTACACCATAATTAAAGCTTCCATTACTTGAACAAAATCAGGGCTAGCGTGAATTGAAACAACAAATATTGTGTACGTCTTCATAATTCAGCCAAAGAATGCATAATATAATGACTCTATAGAGGATGCAAGTACTTGACAAGTGGATCCTCCAAAGATTGCCTCTTTTCTTGCTGCTGAATCATTGGTGGGTTTTACCTCATCTAATTTTCGTGATCCAAATTATCCATCCACGTGTAGTTAAGATGCTTATTCAAATTTGGATGGTAGTTTGTGTGAAAACACTGCAAAAAAAATGGGCTCCACCGACCAAAGGTTTAGCGACTTGTAAAACATGGTTGCTATAAAACACGTTCAGCGACCAAGTAATGGTGGGTATGGGTTTTGGTCTAGTAAAATTGGACAAATTTTTTTATGTTCCATTGCGACCAAATTATGGAAGCTGTTTCAGAGAGTTAGGGACCATACATTTGATTGGTTGGTAAAGGTAGTGCAAAAAAAGAACAAAAAAATTTCCGCGAATGATACCCACTCTAGTGACCACTGAATGGTTCCAGATCTTAGCCTTCTGCAACCATCGATGTCATGGTCGCTAAAAGATTTGGCACAATTTTATCCCTCTTATTTTCATTTGGTCTTTGCATGTTTTAGCGACCAAAGGTAATGGTTGCTGACATTATACCACAAAAGCGACCACTGAATGGTCCCAGATCCTAGCCTTCTGCAACCATCCATGTCATGGTTGTTAAAAGATTTGACGCAATTTTATCCTACTTTTTTTTCATTTGGTCTTTGCATGCTTTAACGACCAAAGACAATGGTCACTGACACTACATCACAAAAGCGACCACTGAATGGTCCCAGATCCTAACCTTCTGCAACTATCGATGTCATGATCACTAAAAGATTTGGCGCAATTTTATCCTGCTTTTTTTTTTTCATTTTGTCTTTGCATGTTTTAGTGACCAAAGACAATGGTTGCTAACATTACACCACAAAAGCAACCACTGAATGGTCCCAGATCCTAGCCTTTTGAAACGTGGCCTATAAATACAAGGTTCCTCTTTCAGTTTTGTTTAAGGATTATTGTCGTGTCTGTAATTTCTCTCCATATTGTCAATTTATAATACATCGTTCCTCTTCGATAAATTCTCTTTGTTTATTTTTTTACTTTTAATCTCGTTTCTTGGTATGTCCTTCTGTGGATTGGTTAAGGTTTTTTCAAAGATGACTACCATGAGGTATGACATTCCGGTACTCGATCGCAATACGAGATTTTCTTTGTGGCAAGTAAAGATGAGGCTTATTATGGCACAGTTTGATTTGGATGATGTGTTGGTCCAAACGGAGTATAAACAACGAAGGGATCGGAAGGCTTTATCATTGATTCATCTTTATCTATCCAATGATATTCTGCAAGATGTCTGAAGGAGAAAATAGCAGCTGTTGAAATTGGAGCAGTTATGTGTGATCGAAAGTCTTATCAGTAAACTGGCTCTAAAGCAAAAGCTGTATTCCCATCGCGTGGTGGAAGGAGAGTCGTTGAAAGACCATATTGTCGCGTTCAAGGAAATTGTTGTAGATTTGGAAATGTTGGAGGTTAAGTACGATGAAGAGGATCTTGCCTTGATCCTGTTATGTTCGTTGCCTGGCTCTTATGCCACATTTTGGGACACCATTTTGTATAGTCAAGATACTTTGACTATAGATGACGTCTATGATGGTTTGTACTCAAAGGAGAAGTTGAAGCATTAGGTTGGAGCTACATCGAGGGATGATGAAGCTCTTTTATCTCATGATGATCGATGGAGGGATAGATCGAAGAATAACAGCAATTTGTTTTTCTTCTACTGTAGACGTAAGGAACATATTCGGAAGGATTGCGATAAGTTGCAGGCTAAAGGTTATTTAACTACAAATCATGGAGTGCAACCTTTGAATTCAGACGAAACTAATGTAGTTGAGGATTTTTTAGACGGTGGAGATGTGATGTTGATCGTGATATCTAACGTGGAATCTAGGCCTAACGAAGAGTGGTTTCTTGATTTTTATGTTCGTATTATATGTGTTCCAATTGAAATTTCCTTTAGACATATGAGGCTATTCAGCAAGGTGGAGTTGTAACGGGAAACAGCTAGTCTTGCCGCATTGTTGGGATCGATCAAGTCAGATTTAGGCTGGGGGATGGGACAGTCAGAAGAATTGATCGTGTTCGATATGTTTCAGACCTAAAAAGGAATATCATCTTGTTTATTACTTTGGATGCAAAAGGGTATAAATTCTCTGGTGGATATTCAATTTGGTACAGTACCTCTTGTGACGGGCTCTGGGTCGGTTTAGAACATAGCTCGAGGGAGCGTAGGTGATTCCACTTTACCACCAATTTCAGTGCTTGCACTGTGTTTAGTTGCTAGGATTGGATCCATTGAGCGTAGTTTTGAGTGAACGTAGATTGAAAACTAGGAATTTAGATTTTTTGATCATGTAGGTGATGAAATTATTTATTATTTATTTATTTCCACTTCATTACATTACACTGTATATGTTTGAAGGTATATGTAATATCGATGTCGGAGCATTAAGTTAATAAGAAGGACACCTTATTTTGTGTTACTCATCTAAATTCCTTGTGTAAATATTTTTCTAATTTTTAATTATTTTGGATACAATATATTGCCTCCAAAATTATACTTTTTTAATTTCTTTTTTAGCCATCTCTATGCACTTAATATTAACGATTTACTTTCCTTTTTAAAATTTCAGCATTTAATTTTCACACAATAAGAAATAAAATCACATGGATAAACATTTTCGTGGCTTATTTGGAAAGTACAAGTGAAATAAAAAATTAGTCAATATGGGATTATCAATATTCCAATTTAGCTATGAAAATAAAGGAAAATAATCCATTAATATTAAGTGCATAGAGATGGCTAAAATAGGAACGAAAAAAAAAGCATAATTTTGGAGGCAGTAGAGTGTATCCAAAACAAATTAAAATGAGAAAGATATTTACACAAGAAAATTAGAAGAGTAACACAAAAAAGGTGTCCTTTGTATTAACTTAATGCTCCGACATCGATATTACAAATACTTTATAAAAGATTTACAGTTAATATAATAAATAATTAATTTATTTTACACTACAATCATAAATTAGTTTTTAATTTATTTTCCCACAACAGTGCCATAGCTTTTTCGTCAACGTCTTTTTTGTTCTTTGACACAGAAAAGAATCTTCTTTTCCTCCGTGATTTCAGTTCACGATGAAATCCAATCTGCATTATGTTGAGAAAAACTTTCGTGTCACAGTTACGAGTAGCTTTCCAAAAGCTGTTTAGGTACCTTGCCTGCCATTTACTCAGGCCGTGTTCTTCCTTCTTTTTATAGATGCGAACGAGCTTCCATTATTCTATGGAATCCCCAATATTTCTATGATGCTATAAATCTTCACACCAAATTAGTGTAAGAATTTTGGATCATATAATAATCAAGAAAGACCATTCACTCGAAAACTAAATGCAATCATAATGAGTTAATGATTGAATTTTAAATGTTAGAATTTTTTCCAATTCATTTATTTATAAAAAATAGTAGAATAGGCTTGTGATAAATACTATTTACACTACACCAAAAAAAGGGCTACTGCAACGATCAAAAAACATTGCAAAAAGTCATTTGCAGCGTTTGAGCGTATGTTGCGAAGCTTGATGTTGCTATTGAGGTAAGACTTTTTGCAGCGTTTAAAAAATGTTGCAAAAGCCTAGTCTATTGCAACGTTTAGCAATAGACTAGGAAAAGCCTATCTATTGCAACGTTTTCTAAACATTGCAATAGACTTGGCTTTTGCAACGTTTAAAAGATGTTGCAATAATCTTTAAGCTGATTGGACCTTGTAAACCTTCAGCTGTTACCTGCCATTTA